GCTGAAACGTCGGAATTGCTATCATTGATTGCAATAAGATCAGGAAGATAGGGACTAGATGGAAGAAAAAAAATAGATGAAGAATAATGAGCTTTTTGGTGATGATGGACTGCTGTAAAGCTTGGGTACTCCATTATGTACTGCATACTGGTAAATTAAGTGATCTTATCTATGGGAAGGCAATGGCAGCCCATGGTAAAATCATTTGGAACTCTGAGAAGGAAGAACAGTTTATGTTGTTGCTCTCTTCCCAAACAGTCTTAGCTTTTCATACATATATCAGGGATGTTACCCAAATGGTAGAGAGTAAAGAGGGATATGACATTGGTCATGATTTAAAGATGATGATGGGTTATTTTTTTTGGTGGGCTATTAGATATAACTGGGTTAATCACGAACATAGAGGTTTTTATTCTTTGTTGCTAGGCAGAAGACTTAGGTGACCTAGGGTCGAAGTGCTTGCTCTTACTTCAATCCATGGCTGTCTTTGTCTCTCTTAAAACATTGTGAAGGGAGCGGCACCAGGATTAAGCAGAGTTCAGGCTAAAACCTGTCTCTCCTTTGCTATCTTCTGATTGATTACAGCAGGAGGGGGGGTTGTGTTAGGTTTGAAATATTTAAATATGGACTTGTCATGTCCAACAATCAATCTTCAGGTCAAGCCCGGGAGAGCCGGGGGTAGAAACAGAGTTTGAACTAAACATAAGTGTTTTTACAAAATAAGAGATTGATTGATGGATTACTAATTGATTCTGAACTGAATGAAAGTCGAATTTAGCCGCCATAAAAGACAAAGGAAGTGGGAGGAGCAATAAAGAAGCAAAAGACAGTCTCAAAAATAAAAGGCATGGCAATTGGTTGATAAATTACCTAAGTGATTGTTTAGGTAGGTGGTAATATTGACACATGAGCAGAAACTATGTGTCAAGAGGGGGAAGAGGCTAATGGTAGGATTAAATAATATACGAAGGAGGAGACAAAATACTTTTAAAAAAAGAAGAAGAAAACGTTTTTTTTTTTGATACAGTCTAGAAAGAGAATGCAGTCAGAAATTGTTAGATTAATCTGAACATGTGTGAAGATAGCTTATTAACCACACCCGTATGTCAGAGGTTTTGTGCCCCACAGGTGAACTAAAGGAGAAGGTGACCCCACTCTCTAACCAGGGACTGGTGAGCATCCAGTCCCTAAAGAAGAAAAACTGGAAGCAGGCCTGTTGGGAAGGGCCCCATCAGGTAATATTGGTCACTGCCTTTGCCATTAGAATAGCAGAGGAATAGAATAGCAGAGGACATCCAGATGGAGGATAAGAAGGTATAACGACATCCCCACGGAGATGGTAGAGTAACAATAGTAAAGGTCAATAAAGAGGACATGAAAAGAACTTACTGGGCTTGCGCGGACGAATACGGAAGGGGATACTTGTCTAAGATTACATTTGATGGAGTCAAAAGATTTGGGAGGGCACAGGTACTGTCATTAATCCATTAATAGCAATAGGACCGAGTAGATCAATCAAGGGATTGACGGAGGTCAATTCGACCGAACCCGTCCACTATGAAAGATTTTCTCCTCCAAGAATGGAACCAAAGGGGAAGTGGAGGGGGTCCCTGATGAGAATCTCTGGTTTAAAGTGGATGAAGTTACACCGCTAGTGGTCACAAGCTGGGCTAGAAACTCTGGTCTCAGATGTGGGGAGCTAGGGGTTCTACCCCTTAGCCACAGGAGGAGGTATAGGTTTGGACCCAAATGAAACACCCAAGCCAATACTCCAGGTAAGTAGATTTAATGTAACAAAAAGGTTCTTTGCACTTCAAAAAATAGTCCAACAAAAGTTCTTCTCAGAAAGAGGTATATTAACAGAGGTAGAGTAACAAAACAGGAGGCAAAACAAAAATAACTCCACGAGGGGGAGAAAACAAACTAAAGATAACTTAGAAAAGCTTACTTGGAAAGACCACGGTGGGACAAAGCAGGAGACCACATAGCCAGGACTCAAAAACCAAGTGAGGAACAGGGGAAAAAAACACAGCTAAAATACTCTAGGTGAAACAAGGCACAGGTGACCTGGATCAAGCTAATAAGGACACACGAGGAAGAACTAAGGCAGAGGGGAACACAGATGACCTCTAGAGGCCCGGAGACAAACAGGAGGCCAGGAAGCTGACAGGACCCCCTCCTCTAGGAACGACTCCTGACGTTCCTTCCAGAACACCCTGGCCTCAGGGTGCAAAACTCTCGGATCAAACCTGGGTCCAGGATGTCCTTGGCTGGAACCCAGGAGCGCTCCTCTGGCCCGTAGCCCTCCCAGTCCACCAGATACTGCAGAGAGTTCTGGACCCTCCGGGAGTCCAGTATCCGGCGGACTGTGTAGGCTGGCTGGCCGTCAATGATCCTGGGAGGTGGGCGGGGGTCTGCGTGGGGGGGCAAAGGGAGAAGACAAGACAGGTTTAAGTAGTGAAACATGGAAAGTGGGTTAATTCTAAGGGAGCGAGGGAGAACCAAACGATACGAAACAG